TAGATCGATCTAGGAAAATACACACTCCACGCACGTGTTCGCGCGATATGTGCACCCTTGGAACTATAGGTTGGGTGGCCCTTGAGTTTATTCATTCTAAAGACATTTCCAGCCTAGGGAGAATATTTTAATGTCATCGTATTGTCATTTCAATATATTTTATGGTTTTAAATGTGATTTGTTTGCGATTTAATATTTTTTATTTTAAATACTTTTTTCTCTGCAATAAAATCAGAATTAAATTAGTGTCCGTAGTAGTGAAAATTCAGACTTACCAGCGGTATATCATTAGTCCTTCTGTCCCCTTAAAACACGATTGCAAAAAAAAAAAAAAAAAAAAAATAATAATAATAATAATAAATAAATAAAAATTAATAAATAAATAAAAAATAGACATGTCACTTTCAATATGAAGTAATAAGTTTCAACCGGCAATTGGGATTCAGTACTTTATTTCAATGAATAGTAAAAATTTGATAGATATTACAAAAAGAGTAGCTTGACAAGTAAGAACTTTATGCTAAAGCTGGTTTAGGACCTACCAGTATATCAGTAATACTGTATATTATGCAATTTTTTTGGTGATGTTTTAACCACCAGACTTACTGCAAAAACGTACTTGTTTCAAGCTCTCTCTCGACTACTTGCGGGATGTTAGCACTCCTGCAGGTATGCCTTTGTATCATGTAAATCGATGTGGCTAGGACGATAGCCAAAACAACTGTGATGGCACATGCCACAGCCATGAACAGGATTGTCTTGTCTTGGTCGCTCTGATGGCCACCTGGTGGGACGTTAGCTGCAATATGACAGACGATGAACGAATTTTAATTCAACCTTTATAAGATTGGATTAGACAGTAAAAAGAAACAGAAAGTTGTAATACATGTAATTTCTTAAATTGTTAAAAAAGTTAAAAGGATCACTGTAGTTTTGGATAAAGTGCACGTAGGATGTCGATGAATAATTTACTCTTTTTACTTGTTGCAGTCATGTTTAATCTGCGTCAACTGTTGTAAGGAATTTCAAGAATACGGTGTTATTTCATCTTACCGCGTGATGCATCGTTGTTTCCAATATTACCCATCGGTGATGAAGAGTTGTTTACCAATTCTGCAAAGACATATGATATATATTTAAGTTAATGAAAAAAAAAGCCAAATCATTATCTCCACAACTCGTCATTTTAAAACATATGTTGATGAGAAACAAAAGTAAATGGTAAGTTTTACTTTGTTCTAATCAGAGGCACTCACAGGTAGAAGTAAAACCTGATAACCCCTCAGGACATCCGGAGTAATTTCAATCATTTTATCGTCTTTGTCGGCACTATTTGTGTCAGGCTCTAAGGATCTCTTGATGTGACAGTTTTTTTTCCCTTTTTCTGACTATTGTTCGCTTACTGGTCCACACAGGGGATGTCGCCAGTCACCGGCGATACCGATGCGATAGTGAATTTTAATAACGACATATCTTAATGTGTGATTTATTATGATCTCTTCATTTTTATGCACCTTACTTTCTTTCTCTCTCTCTCTCCTTTTCCCCTCTCCCTCCCTCTCTCACTATACCTCTCTCCCTCCCTACCCCTGTCTCTTCCCCCCTCTCTCTCTCTCTTTCTCTCTCCATCCTCTCTCTCTCTCTCATTTGACCATGCAAAGCTTGTCACAGAAGTGGTTGCTTGAATCATCTTCACATTCTATCCGAACAGCAACGTTTACTCTTTTCTTCTCCATCTCAAGCATCACCTATCACCTCACCGTGTATCCCTACCCATTCTAATCCTATAACAAACCTAGGGGAGAACTTTTTACCACGACTGCTCTGTTTCAGTCATGATATTATGACGGGTGTAAATAGGGCTCGTTGAAACGCAGATAGACTATATATACATATATGATATCTTACCTGTCCCTGAGCTCAACGCCGATGAAACAAGCACCAGATATAAAAGTAAGGTGCTCATCGCCAAAGATGAACTCATTTATATACAAGTACCCGCACGTCCCAAAGTCCATTTCAAATACAAAATATTAAAATATCTCTAGCATATTGGTGTCGCTGTATCAACTCGTTTCTATATGTGGACATCTACCGCTGTAATTGCTAGATAACCAGTAATGGCGAGATAACGATAAATATAGAAAATTAAAACATTCACCCTGTTGACCGCTTGAGACCCTCTGTTACACCTAACACATTTCCTGGTCGCACCTGTCAAAATCAATTATCATACAAATATATATACAGGTGCGTTAATACGCGTGCCGCAAGATCTATAAAAAAGCACATTTGCATTTATTTATTTATTTGTTTATTTTTGAGTAGACTTTAAAGTACTGGAAAACCATTATGACAATATTATTGCAATAATTGAATTAGAACAGTGAGTTGAATGGTTTTGTTTAGCAGTCGCAGTGCCATAAGACAAAAGTCATAAGTTCCCTCTACCAGGGACACATGTCTTTTTTTCACCAGATTTTCATGGATACTTGTCTGACAAATTCTGTGCACACCTCTGTACTGATCATCGATGTTTTTGGAAGGAATTCAGTGACATCATCAATGAAGTTGAGAACAGATGAAATATTTTACAATTTTGTTGTCACATGCAATATTTCCTGTCTTGTTTTGAAGACTTATTTGAACAAATTAATAGCAATTTCAAAAGGGGTGTTCTTCTTTCTGAAAAAGTGGGCCTTTTTCAATGAAATTTTTGCGTACCTAGATAAAATTTTACCCAAAGGGTTCTTTTCTCTGCAAAAGGGGGATTCTTTCGACCCCCCTCCCCCCACCCCCCCCCCACCCCCGGCTAAGGATCTGTTAATATTCAACTATTGTTATGACTACATGTGTTTTGCATTTGTAACAAAATGCACAGCTAGATAAGATAGGTCATTGTAGGCCTATCACTTGATATCAAATTCAGTGCCATCTTCAATAAAGTTGAGAGCAGGTAAAATATTTTACTATTTTGTTGTCACAAAAACATGCCCTGGCTTGTTTTGAAGACTCGGTCGACGTGTTAATCAGGCTCCTAGTCAGTAATTTCAAAAGGGGTGTTCTTTTTCCGGAAAAGTGTTGCCTTTTCCATTTTCGTGTACCTAGATAAAGTTTTCTCGGCAAAAAGGGAGATTCTTTCGAACCCTCGGAACCATGGCTAAAGTTAATATTCAACTATTGTTACGACCACGTGTTTTGCATTTGTAACAAAACGCAAGGCTCGATAAATCATGGTCAAGTGGCTTGTGTCACATGATATCAAATTAATGTCCATTTTGTTAACACATCCCTGTTAATATTAATAGTCTAGCATTACTCGAAAGATTATTTACGGTTATGTTGAAAAAGCATACTCACGACAGATCTGAAAGTGGTGTTATATTTGACGTTTAAAACAAACAAACAAAAAAAAAAAAAAAAAGACAGCACCTTGGTGAACATTTTTGTATTCGATGTCCTGGACATTTTTTTCCAAATATTTAATGACATCCATATCTATTTCTATCCTGTTGAAATGTTTTTATTGAGGTTGAGAAGGTGATAGGAAACGATAGGTGGTGGCACCAGTGCCAGTACTTGAGAAGTATCAACATTTGATATGGAATTTCAATAAAAATTTCAACGACCACACTCATACTGTCAATTGTTTTGGAAGACTGATAAACAACCACTCTATGTATTCTTGAACCTGTCACTTAAGAACCCTTCAATTGTAAACCAATTGTCGCATGAAAATACTCATATATAGCTTGGCTTTAAACTGGGATATCTTTATTGACTTTGTAATTTAAAAAGTTAATGGATTGCCAGGCTACGCATACTTGGAGTGGGGAATGTTGCACCAGTCTGAGGGTTTGAAAGGAAAGAAGTCAGATTTATTCTGGCATTCACTGAATAATACGTAACAAAAACAACAACAACAACAATAATAATAGTAACAATGGCAAGGATGAATAAATAAATCAAACGATAGCTAAATAGATAACTGATAAATAAATAAATAAATAAACAAACAAATGAATAAATGAATAAATAAATAAATAAATAAATAAATAAATAAATAAATAAATATCTCAAGAAAAGTGTTCAAGAATAAGATCGCATTCATTTATAAACTGGTACAAACAAATTGACATCACTGTTATCATATTTCTTTAGCTTAATCTAGGATCCTTTAAACTAATTTGAAGAGCGCAAAGTTTGATAAGCTGGTGAGTTAAGGTTAGGTCGGGGGGGGGGTGCGAAGGAACCCTCTTTCGGCCGAAAATGGTCTGTTGCATGAACCAAAATTTGAATTAGATTCAATGACATTTTTCATGTTGGGTCAACATGAAATCTATTTAGAAAAACATATTAAAATTGCTAGCTACAGGTCCGATTATAGTGATAACTTAACAAATCGCTTCAGTTTTTCAAAGTTGTTTCGATCCACCTAAATACAAAATGACGTAAACTGGTTAAAAATAATTTTCTTTTCTTTAAAATATTTAGCACGGATATCGAAAAATGCTGTACATGTAGATGTAGATTTTTTCCTAATTGGACCATGATATATTTATGGAATATACTAGAGGCCAAGTAGAGGTGAAATAATTCCATGCAAACATCCCCGGTAGGCAGTGCCAAACTCGTCGAAATATAGCCAGAGACATATCTGTGCATTTACAGTGAAAAATCAATGTGAGCCCTAGTAGAGAGTATCTTAACAACACCTCTTCCCTGTGCCCCCGGGGCCGCCCTGTGATGTCCCAGTCTGTAATTAACTTGTCTCAAAACACCCGGGTTGTCACATAAAATATTTGTATCTATATTAGCCAGTCATAATTAACACCTTGTACACATGAAGCCATAGGCTATATATAAACGGAAGACTTCACCAGTGTTGCATAAATACCCCGCTTCCTCATCCAGCGTGAACGCTTTTCCAAAAATAAAATAAAATAAAAACCTGCGGGTCATTCGCTTTTTTCCTTATTCTACCTGGCATTCACTGAAGATCGCGGTAATACCTGTGAAATCATCAGTCTGTTGAGCTCCTGTTTAAATTAACAGCTCCTTGTTCATATTCACCTTAATTTAAAAAGAATCGACAATATACTGTAAAGAGAAGCGGAAGGAGGCGCTTTGTTAATTTCCACTCTAAACAATGGCCGAGTCTACGCTTCGTGACCATAAACAATCAGATATGAATATATTAAAGTAAGACGAGCGTTCCAAGGCGGCTGGAATGTGACAAGCTTGTTGTGATGTGAACTGAAGAGTTAAGTTACGAGAACCCTGGACCTGTATAAGGGTATGAACGATTTGATTTTTCACCTTGTGAACAATAATAAGACGCTTTTGCTATAAGCGCTCAGAAAACCGAGTTATTTTTGAAACCGGGTCAAGAAATTTTCAGGTTGTGGAATCAGTCGCGGATTTAATGCGCGCTGTTAAAGGAGTTCATTGTTCAATCATACAAAGCGCACAGGTAAACTAGGGACTGCGGGAGAAAGGACAGGAACATAAATACATGCAGGTAAGTTAATGTTCCCCTCTCTCTCTCCTNCTCTCTCTCTCTCTGTCACACGGGAATCATGTCAAATCTATGTTTTTGAGCTTCGAGTAGCAAGATGTATTTTTAAAATAAGTTTCCACATACCCTGCTTATTTGAATAACACTGTGGCATCTGATAGAATAATGGCTGATAGCTCAATAGGTTTAAAGTCTCTCCTTGCTGCAATGTAACGTAACCTTTATTTCGATTTGGACAGATAAAAAAATGGGGAAAGGGAAGTTGAAAAGCAAAGCCGTGTTTTGGAGCTTCAAGTTGCATGTGCAATATGTTCATGTCATCAGATTTTGCATACCCCGTTTATTGAATAACACTGTGCCTTCTGACAGACTAATGACTGATAATTTAATAAGTTTAAAGTCTCTATTTGGTACTGCGCTTTATCTCCTTTACACAAGTTGCAGCGATTGAAAATTTTGTAGATAAGGTTTTACAAACACGGAAGTTCAGATACGAGAACAGTGACTATACAGTCACCAGGGTTTAAGGTGTCTTTTCACCTGGGTGAAACTTTAAACAATTTCCAAAGGTTATTCTGGATTGAATGTGAGCACTCCACTAAAGTGAGTATTCGGTATATATTCTAGCAAAGTCAATGTGCTACTTGGTTGTTAATGACACTGAATGAAATGATACGATATTTACACAAAACGAATTTTGCTTTTCATACGCTATGAATTTAAATCATTCTAGCGCAGGCTAAACGTTTGAATGTATTTGTTTTATTTGGAACTTCATTTCATTTTGACATAGCCACAGTTGTGGTGAAGGTATGTTGTTTTCAACACTGCAATCATATATGTGTAGATGTCCGCATGAACAAAAAAGGAAATTGATATTAAAAAACTGTGTAGAACTCTTATATAGATATACCAGTAGAATTTATAGGCGATCCAGGAGAATATACTGTATTTATTTATATATGAAGTTATATGTATATAAACCAGTTGTCACAGGGTAAACGGTAATGTGCGAGGACACGCTAAGGTGTGAAGACGTATTGTTCGCTGCAGCGTCTATGACTTAATATCTGGGGAGGCGGAACTACTAATTATAGGCAGGGGTGCAAAAAGTCAGTGTCGCACAAGTCACACGATAGGTGTGTATTATGCTTGACTGTTGTTTCGCCAGGCGAAAACAATCATACTCTCGTGGCGGGTTTTTTTCCTACCCTCATACGTTTTTCATCGTTTTATCACTTTAAGTTAAAGAGTGAGATAATTTTTTTTTCATAATGAATAAGGCTAAAACACATAAACATCTTATCAAATTAATGGTTTAGTTAGAGTGGACTTCGATGATAAATGGTGACGCATAACGCCTTAGATTGGTCAGGTTTGGCTGGTCACAAAAAGTCCCCGAGATACAGTAGACTGGTAGAGAATAATAGGTTCGAAAACTAAAATGAAAATTTCCTGGACAAGTGCGTCTTTATTGTATCGTGAAACAAACACGCACACAAAACACACACCCACCCACACACACACACACACACACACAACGTTTTTCATATTCAGTACGACTGCAATATTTCACACCCAGGCTCTTTCTTTCTGAAACACGTGCGCGCACGCGCGCACGCACATCATGATCGTAACGTTACGTCCAGTGAGAGCCCACAGGAGGGTACTTATTGACCAGTCCACCACAATAAATCTCGGTGTGCCCATCCCTGTCCCCGGCTGGGAAGTACATCGTGGAGATAATGAATACATTAATACCGAACTGTCAACATTCTCTCTACAGAGGATTTATACATGTGCGAGTATGTTCATTTGGAGAACTCAATTGTACACCCTTGACCAATGTCCACACAGGCTTAGATATATTGCCAACAGGTCTATACTCTTCTGGGGGTCAGCGGAGTGCTATCATTTAAAATTCCTGCTGAACCTTCAGTAGAAAATTTGTCAAAAAATAAGCCATAAATAAGCAAGATAAATAGCTGTGAAAAATGAATATGTGACTAAGGTAGAGAGTATCTATGCTGAACGATTTCAGCTGTGTTATTTGTCTTGATAGGAGGACTGTTTTAAATGCGAATCATTCAGTATGACTAAAAATCTACAGGTGGAATGAATATTGGTTCCGAGTGGACTTTTTCCCGACCAAAAGGGGGATTCTAACCCCCTAGCGCACAGGTATACTACTCTAAAAATTCTTGCTCCATCCCACTTCATGAGAAAAAACTCGAATTCATTGGGCAATATATAATAGTTGTACACTACAGTTTAGAGGTAAAAATCAAGGACTGAGCAAACTGCTCTAAATCTCAGATTAGCTCTGAGAATTAAAAATAGTTTTGTGGATACAGGGTTATCAGTATTTTATGCGTCAGTTTTTATGATTCTTTAGCCTGTCGTCTGATCGATAAAAGTTGGAATCCTAATAAGAGAGCTAATCAACAGGCATACAAGTCGATATAAGGAAGTATTTCACACAGAAAGTATAAAGAGCAAGATACGTATGTATGGGTGGATGTAAAGTGCTTACTTTATGGAAGAAGTGTGTGGAGTTGGAAAGAGACTGTGTTGAAACACAGATCAATGTTAAAATTATCAATCCAAATATCTTTATCTCTCTACATGAGGCTCAAAACTACATCATATCCCCTCGTACGTGTATAGGATAACCTCGTATCAGTGTCTTTTCCAGAGATTAGATCGATCTACTTTAGATCGACCTAACTCCCTGGGGGTTCACGCTAAATAGCTGTCAGCCGGGCGGACACGAAAGTTAATTACCCCCTTACAGCTTGTAGTAGGCGGGACGGACATTTAACCCGGATTATCTGACAGTAATCTAGTGAGACTCCCCACGGGGATAGATCGATCTAAATGTCTGGGAATACGCCCTTACTTTGAGAAATACCCACTGGTTTGAATGTTGATATCACTTTTGCTTCATGTCCGTGTTGTTTACATAGGTTCGAAATGTTTGGGTTGTCTTAGCTTATCAGTTCACCACCGACCCTTAATAAACGAGAGAAAACGGAGGACCGCGATGGCAGGTTTAATAATTAGATTTCAACAAATATTGAAAATTGGCACACATATCTTAAAGTATTTGGTCCCGTGTTTTGCCTAATTATCATTGATTCTATTTCATAAACATGAATTAGGGACGATGACAAATGTGTAAAATAAGGGCATATATAGTGGGACACTGTGGCATATTTATGCTTTTGACCTTCATTTCTCTCTGTGCTGTACGGCTGATCCAGGGAGGCAAACATGCATAAGCACGCACAGACACACATGGACGTGTGCACACACGTGCACATAACATAACATGAGCATACACACATATACACACATGTGCACGCACACACACACACACACACACACACACACACACACACAAGCACACCAGAAAGGCACACTTTCTCATACGCGTACATGTTTACCCAGACGCAGCAAACCCCAAATAGTAGAAGATAAAGGGTCATGAGGGTAATGATGGGGGGGGGGGGGGGATTGTAGACCTAAAGCTTCTCTCCCACACTTTCAAAAACAATAGTTCCATATCTTAGAATACAGGCAGTATTTAAGGCATTTGTGCCCTCTTCCCACGAGTGTCACACAAGTCCACAGATATGTTGATGACACATAGAGATAATTCATAAGACCAATTTAGTGTCCATTCCATCAGGGTGCAGTCCTGTACATGCTCAGTCACTACGCCGCATAATGGCCCTTTGTCATGTACTCATATTGAGCGCTTTGTTTTAGCATGGTCAGTCAGGCCGACCGAGACTGACCAATGTGGCCTACCAATGCCAGTGACCAATGTGGGTGACCAATGTTATTGACTGGGGTATGACATTACAATGCAGAGACAGACCCACAACATTTACAATGGAAGTCATTCTCTCTCTCTCTCTCTCCCCCCCCCCCCCCCCCCACTCCACCTCCTCCTCCGTTAAAGAAATGTTTGATAAACACAAATATGATGCAGTTTGGGTCATTTACAAGTACAAGTGTTTATGCTGGACCTCGGATCTTTTATCTTTTTACCTTTAGTTAGGGATGGGGGATTCAATCGGCTATGTCATATTGAGAAAAGAGGGCGGACTTCCAAACCTTATCCGCTAAGGTAACGTTTGGCCCCTAGTGTTGAGAAGGGGGGGCTATCCGCTTTCTGCTGCTGTGAAGGCATATACCAAAGGTGTCGCTCACACCGGAGAGATGAGGACAACCAGTTAAACACTGTCGAGAAAAATGTAGAATTATTAAACTGAGTATCAGTAAACTGTGTAGGAAGAGATGCAGGAATACCGGCACGTTTTAATACTGGTATATATCGACTTTTTAACGATTGGTATGCTGAAATGAACTTAAATCTTTGCGACAGCCGAGGATTCACCAACCACTGTTCTTGTAGACAGACATCTAACACCCCATTTCCATAGATTTTTAGATCGATCTATCCCTGTGGGGAGTCTCACTAGATTACTGTCAGCTTGGCCGGCTTAAGCGTCTGTCCCGCCTACTAAAAGCTGTAAGGGGGTAATTAACTATGGTGCCCGCTCGGCTGACTGCAATTTAGCATGAACCCCCAGGGAGTTAGGTCGATCTAAAACTTTATCTTTAGATCGATCTAAATCTCTGGGAAAGCACCCTAAACCGCTTAATCTGGATGCAATTTAGCTAGAATTCCCTCGAAAATGGGTCGATCCTGCTAGATCGTTCTAGGTATGTGAATGGGGTCTTTTGGTAATCTCTGTTCAATCGAACCAATAAATTAGCAACTGGAAAAGCGCTCAGGGGGCACATGATTTCACCAAGGCAGCTCTAATCCGTTTATTAACTAATTATTGGATCGTCACAAAAATCTTATTACATAGCCGCTTTTTTTCCGTAAACTGAATTTAACAAAAATCAAAATTGAATCAGGTTGTTAACTTTAAAAAGATCAAATGCAAAAACATGACCTCCTTCATGAAGGGAATAACCCAAGAGAGGTAGACCTTCATTTTAACTATTTGCTTAACAAAGTGAAAGGAATCTTAAGTGATGGCCCTCAATCGACGATTATGCACACGCGGAAAGAAGTTTTGTAATTCATTGACTATCCCTTTCTTGATTTTTTTATGGGAATATGTGTTATGTACATGATTTGTTTTCCTAATTCGCAAAAGCGTTTGAATGCGGAAGAAAAAACGTACCCCAAGGCTCTGCTGTGATGTAGTTATTTGACATAGTGGGTAATCTTGTATAGTCTATTCAACAGGTACGTTGTATTGTTGAAAGAGCTGATGATTGAGAGCCCCCATGGCACTTAGACCTTTGACTGCAATCTTCGCGTCTGTCCTGCTGCTGGGAATATCAGGTAAGTAGAAAGTGAAAGAGGAAGTGTGTGTGTGTGTGTGTGTGTGTGTGTGTGTGTGTGTGTGTGTGTGTGTGTGCGTGTGTGTGTGTGTGAGAGAGGGAGAGAGAGAGATTGATTGACAAATAATGAAAAAAAGAGGTATTGAATATTAAGGAAAAATGACTGACTGTAAAATATATATGTAAAATACATGGTATTCACAAGTTATAAATTCTTCGAAAATGATTTTTAAACATTTACAAGACCTTTATGTGGTAGGTGCCACACCTATCTAATTAATGTAATTTCATATATTTTGCAACAATCTTTATCCGCCCTACTATTACCATCAGATTGGACATAAACATAGTATTTTTAAGTGCTTAAAAAGGTTGTTTTGATAGACCTACGTGTAAATCATTAGTCTACGACCCAAACATGTACATTCCCATGCTTATAGGAAAAAGGCATTAAATAAACTGAATGATTACTGATAACGCACACGTAAAAAAACTTCCATTACTTTTTATTTGGTAAATTATTTCAATTTTCTATTGTACCGAAGGCAGTAATTGCGTGTCGTATATGGGCGAAATATACACACTGATTAAAAGAAGTAAAGCAAAATCAGTGTTTTAAATTGAACCTGGGAAAGAACTCGGCTCTATTATAATTTTATATTGATCAATATATTAATGGATCACCGCCATGATCTAATGGGTCCTAAATTAACGTTTTTCTTATCTACCCTGAACATTTTATCAAAATCTGTAGATAACTTTTCAGTAAGGCTGTTAACTACAATTCAACAAAGGCAAGTACATAACATTGGTGGAAGTAAAATTAAGTATCCTAAGTAAAATTAACTATCCTGTGAGTAGTTACTATTAATACAATATCGCGAATGCAATGAAAATAACAAATCTCATTGGTATCAATCACCAAGTCATTTTCTCACTTTTCAGAGCGGAGCCTTGCCTTACAGATAGACGTTATCCCCGATATCGAGGTCAATCAAGGGGACACCTTTACACTGTGGTGCAATGTGACAGGTGCGCCGTCCCTGTCTCTTGGTTACTTGCTCACATATACCAAGAAGGCTGTAGAATGGTGTACAATTTATACATATAGCGGGTCATATCTACAATTTGACGGAGAGTGTCTAGATCGTTATCCTGCGTTTAGATTTCGAGTGGTACCTACAGGCTCCACGAACTTTGAGCTCTCCATGTCGGGAGCGGCTACGACTGATGCCGGAGACTACAGGTGTAAATTTGCTCCCCGCAACGAAGCTCAGAGCACCTCAGAGATTATAAGAGTAACAGTACGAGGTAATGTCTTGTCAAAATTAATCTTTAAATTTGTCTTCTTTGTTTAGATGCATTAGATTTTGAACATTTTATATTTAAAATATTTCATCTTTTTGCGCTGTATGAATGAATTGGAACAAAGACAAATTACACTTTACCTTAACTGAGACTAACACTTTTAACTGAATAGACCATAGTTTTTAATTTTACTTCACCTACATCTGTTCATTTAACCTTGTGGCTTCACAAAATCCTGTTCCCCTTAATAAACCTTTGCTTAAACCAAAACCATTTCAGAGAATCCCACCACTGTTCAACCAACAACTGCAGCGCCGCCTACAACATTGTCTCCCACTACAGTAGCACCGACTACAACAGTTCAGACGACAACAGAAGCGCCACTGACTACAACAGTGTCGCCACCTACAACCACGACAACACCGATACCAAGCACGACGACAGAGCCACCAACAACCACTCAGTCAACTACTGACTCAACTACGACAATTCCGCCCACAACCAAACCTGCCACAGAAAGTACCCAACCAACCACCCAAACATGGACGTCATACAACACAAACGGGACAGGGGACATAATGACCAGTCGTCCCCACATTGCCATTTCCACTACAACTGTCCCAGAGGATGTGACCACGACGGTTGACCCACATGAAGGACAGGATCACTTGGACTGGACGGTTACTGGGAGGTCCGTTCACACCGTAGGTAAGTTGTAAAATCTGGGAGGAGAAAAACGGAGTTTTTCTAAAACTCTGTTTACATACACCCCATTTCCATAGATTTTTAGATCGATCTATCCCTGTGGGGAGTCTCACTAGATTACTGTCAGCTTGGCCAGCTTAAGCGTCTGTCCCGCCTACTAAAAGCTGTAAGGGGGTAATTAACTATGGTGCCCGCTCGGATGACTGCAATTTAGCGTGAACCCCCAGGGAGTTAGGTCGATCTAAATCTTAATCTTTAGATCGATCTAAATCTCTGGGAAAGCACCCATAGACACCATCGGACTACGTAGATCGATCCAATTCTTCAGGGACTCTCGCTGAGTGCAATCATCTGAACTGAAAGACACGCCTCCTCGTGTTTCCAACGTACGCGTATAATCACCAGCTTTTATGTATTCCTTTCAACGCCAGTTGACCATTCAGTTAAGCTGGTTGCACTCAGCGAGAGTCCCAGCAGAATTGACGAGATCTGCGTAGACCGATGATATCTATGGGATAGGGTTGTAAGGTTTTTTATTAGACATTGCTTGAATGAAATTGTTAGCTGGTAAATTAAAAAAGTACAGGTGTTTGGTGCCATTTTTTAAATAAATTCTGTGTATTATATGCATTATATTATACATTACATATGTATTTCTTGTGAACGAAACCTCGATTAATTACCAAGTAGAAAACATATTCATTGCTATTTAATATGCATTCGTTAAATTACACTCAGTAACAAAAAATAATTTTTACTTTGAAAAGTCTACGGGTGTTTATTTTGAAATGAAAATAAAGATTTCCTTGACTATACTCCCCCAGAAACCACGGGCGCTATAGTGGGCGGTGCTGTCGGAGGTATTGTGCTGATTTCCATTGTGATCATAGGAGCGGGAATCTGCTTCTATCGGGTGATTTACTTTATATTAATATTTTTGCACAAAGTCAAAGTTCTTGTCGTACAGTCACAAGATCATTTCTATTTTGGAACTGGAGTTAACGCTTATTTTTTAATTTCGATTAATTTGTCCGTTAAAAGAAAAATAATAGGTGTTCTTCATTTATTTTTTAGTTATTTGTTTGCATTTTATACTTCCAGAGAAAGATAAACAAATTAAAGAGACGCACCACTGCTTCCAGTAGACGCAATTTAACTGACTGCAATGGGGGATACGAAGTTCCTGTTTCCAACGAAGAATTGGTGAGTTAATAAATTTTAAATACATTTACGCCACTGCTCTCGTAAAATAATTGTGGTCAGAATTAAGCACGAAAATTTAATGCGCGCGTGATAAGTGCTGCAAGTTCATACAACATCATAGCACATGTGACTTAAATGGAGTTAGGGTGTACTACATGTATGCGCTTTAAAATGCCTGCAAAGTTATGTCTCTTTCAAAATGAGGAAAAAAATCCTCAAAAGTACCTCATGTCTACTATTCTTCCAACATTCCGGAAGACTATTATGCATTTAGAACTGAATCATTTAACCAGTCAAGGTATAGAAACATCGAATCCAAGTACATAGGCCATTCGAGCAATAATTCTTCAGTAAGGGAAAATTGTTATTTTCGATGAAATGTACTGCATGTAGATATGGCGCGAAAATCCCGGATAAGAGACCTATGTTTTTACTTCAAGACATGCTTTTCTTCTTTGTATGTCGACAACAGCGTTATGTTCTCTTTATATGTCCTAAAGATGGATTAAAACATGGTGACAGTCATTAATTTGGTATTGTATACTGTATACTTGCAGGCGCTAGGTTACAGCTCTCTGCCCAGGCCGGAGAACCGCGCCCTGAAGAACGTGTACGCTACTATAGGAGACGAGGAGGGCTACGAGGTTCCCATTTCAGCTATAGAGGTAACTATATTGATTTTAAGAGATGTCCTCTAGATACATTTCACTCTTCATGTCTTTCCATCTTTTCTTACGGAAATACACTCTCTTGCTGAACTTTAATTCATTTCACGTTCACATTTTTAATGGATTTTTTTTAGTATTTTCGATCTATATGTACATGTATTTAAGTCATGGGTCTGTTCATGAAAATGCGTCATGTCAGGTAAGCATAGTATGGTGTATTGTGAACTATTAATCACAATTCTTCTTTATTTTAACCAGCAACCAACTTATGCCAAGATGCAGCCTCGTTCTAAAGAGTTTACAATGGCCGACTTGAAGCTGGTGTCAGAGCTTGGTCATGGACATTTCGGCACAGTGTATACAGCAGTGATTAAGACGCAAACCAGCTCCCTCCCTGAAGGAACGCAGGTGGCCGTCAAAATGCTGAAAGGTGTGTGAGGAAAGATGTACTATATTCAAAACAATAGCAAATCGAAATTGTCAGATGTAAGGGGCGCTTTCTACAGCGTTGCATCACTTAACACGGTCAGTTATGTAAAAAGCTTTTTAACGAGCAGAAAATAAGTATCTACTGACTTAGCGTAAGTCATGTGTTGAAATAAAACAAATTTTCCTGAGGCGAGGCGGAAGTTTTGGAAAATTCCAGAAAAAAGTAACCAACTCTTCAGCATGCTATTGCAAGTAAACGGTGACTTGCCCTCGCATTGCCATAGGTCACGTTATTTTAAGGAGGTTTCTTTGTAAAGGGCCCCCCCCCATCATTGGTGCATAATGAAATTCAACATATTAAAAATATTTTTGTCTTATAGGTGACGCATCTGACACGGATCGCAAGAATTTCCTGAAAGAAATCGACATAATGGATTCTATGCCTAGCCATGAGAACGTGGTGCAGCTGTTCGGGTATTCCTCAGCAGGTAGGACATCTGAATTACCTTTTAGCAGAATTTGAAACACGGATTTCACAATCAAAATAAAAAAATATTCCGATGAAAATACATCTGTGTAGTATGTTGATAATGTTGTATGATTAGGCTTTCCGCTTCCCACACTAACCGAAAGCTTTGTGAGGTATAGCTATAATTTAGTGTAAAAAGTGAAAAAATCAAGGCTAATATCTTTATATCAAGAAATTTATTCATGAGGTTTTCTGTCTAAATTTTTAATTTTCTCTGTACTATGGCTGTTTGCGGGTATATAGAAAATATATATTCGAATGTTTTTGCAGATTGTCTGTCGGCTTTCCTGGTGTTGGAGTATCTTTCTCGTGGCAATCTGAACACATATCTCCGCAGCAGTCGAGGTTTGGATGCCTTTGGTAATATTGGGGACTCTACGAATATTCTGTCTCTGGAAGACTTACTTCACTGTGCTCTTGACGTGGCCAGGGGGATGGATCACGTCTGCAAATATGGGGTACTTATAATAATAATAATAATAATAATAATAATAATGAATATTCAGCCAATCAAATGCACGTAAAATATATTCATGAACATAAAATGGGGTAAAATATTTTGAAATGTCATGTTGAAAAAGAGAAATGATGGCTAAAAAAACTTCTCACTCCCGCCATTTCTGAAACTGTATATACTTGTGAAGAGCAAGGTAATTTTGGAATGTGATTATCGCAGAAATCGTATAACATGAACTAGATGCATTCCTGGGTGGGTGTGTGATAGAGATTCAGTCTTCTCTACCACAACAAGCAAAACACAATAGGTAAAAAAAAAGGTGTGTATGACGTGCACAATTCTTTTTTTTTTTTTTACAGCACTTGCAAATGCCACAATTAAAACTGCAAGCTTACGTTTTAACGCCTAACTTTAAAAAGAATATTTACATAAATTTCTCAAATATATATGAAGTTAGTGATGACGTAATAAATTAAAATTTACACATTCTTTTATCAGTACCTCCACAGAGATCTAGCGGCAAGGAACATATTAGTTAGCGACAAACGTGTCTGCAAAGTTTCGGACTTTGGACTTTCTCGGGACGTCATAGATTGCCGCGCTTACTTGAGCTGCTCTAAGGTAAGGCTAGATCTTGGCCTTGTTCACAAATACATATCAGACATATAGCCCGAAGATTTGGTATTAATAGAGACCAAAATTAAAGTCTACTATAAACCAAGGTAAATAAATAGTAGGCCTAGTCCAATAAAATGAAATATTGCGTCTGTTTTTAACAAGAAGGGCGTGGCTAATGCGTAAAAACTAAGACAAATACTTACTTCATTTGAGTGGACTACTACAATAAATATATCTTCAACTGAAGAAATTCATATTTTTGGTCCTGGCGTTTACCCATTAATGGTGCTAAGGTTTTTGTGTAGTACTTAACCTGAAATTGACTGATAGCTTACACTGGAAAACTGCACCCCATACCCCATCTGATATCACAAGGATGTACAGTAAACAGAATAGAAAAGAAGACAACAATTTTGTAATAGACTACTAGCAACCCCGGTGGTCAGAGAGTGCACTTCAGATAATCTTCATATAAAACCTTAACCTCCTTTATGTTATCTGGCCGTAAGGTCATATATATATTAGATTGTTTAATATGTTGTATAGACATGTACTGGTACTTACGGATATCCTTTGGAGATAGTCATAATAAATCCAAAGAAATAAGTTCTGTTATTAATTCTCTAATAAATTCTCTAAAAGCTATAAATTCGACCTTCTTTACACGGACAAGAGAAACAACAAGTTAAAAATGATAATATCTGGATACAAAAATGACATCGGACTCCTGTAGATTTAGGACTACAGACTCCTGTACGCGGTCTGTTAGACTGTCTGGAAATAGTCCAGTTCTGTCGGCTTGTAAACATGACATATATCAACCCTGTATCTCATCTTTCAGGGCCCGCTTCCCTTGCCATGGATGGCCCCCGAGTCCATATCAGAGAGCATCTATACCAGCCAAAGTGATGTCTGGGCATACGGGATAGTACTGTGGGAGATAATGACACTAGGTACAGTCTTATTATTTATACCTGTATTTAACCGCAGTCGCCACTTACAGAGGAGCACCATACGTTAATTTTTAAATATATATATATTTGTTGTACAGGCATATTTTTCATTGTGTAAGACTAGGTTCCCATACTTAGATCGATCCATCTGGATCGACCTAACTCCCTGGGGGTTCACGCTAAATTGCTATCAGGTCAAGAGGCTTAAATGTCTGTCACACCTTCCGAATCAGCTAGGGTAAAGATAATTATACTAGCCGTGACAGACGTTTAAGCCCGTTAAGTTGATCGCAATTTAGTGAGACTCCCCAGGGAGATAGATCGATACAAATATCTGTGGGGATGGTCTCTAAGTTTGATAAGAAACTCTGGTATCTCTTAGTTTATTTCAAACTGGGAGCGATGTATTTCACTTCAAATCGTGTGATGTGTCTAGTGGTATCGAACATTCAAAGGGGAACTTTACTGGAAAAAAAAAGGAAATGCGACATACAAGGCATTGAGACATTTTATCTATTGACGAGTCATATTATCTATAAATATTTGTCTCAGGTGCCACCCCGTACCCAGGTATTGCCTCGTTTGAGGACTTACAGAAGAGAATTAAACGAGGCTACAGGATGGAGAAGCCCGAGGAGTGCCCTACAGAGATGTACGCATCACGTTTTATTTTTTAATTCTGACATTTATATTCGAATAGTATGACTCGTTAGTGTATGAATACTTATTAGTGACAGAGGGTTGAGAAACTGGCTATGACATTAGAATAGCAAGTTTGACATGTTTCAGTAATTTAAAAGTTGTGTTTCAGTGGTTACATGTAAATTGCTATATCTAATAATGATTTCATTTTTTTTTTTGCTATGTTGCTGAATAAACGTGTGATTGGCCACACTCTCTCTAAAATGTTTCGTGTTGGGGTTAATATTCATGATCAGTTTTCTTTATTCTTGCCCCCACCCCCGACCCTCTCCAGCCAAATCCTGGATCGACCAATGACGTTTCATCCGTTTTCTCTACCTTCCAGGTATAACATCATGCTGCACTGTTGGCAGGCAGAGCCACGAAGCCGCCCCTCATTTAACCAACTTGTACAGACTCTGGAGCTCCTCAGCAAGGACGAGAAGTTTGCGTCGCTAAACGATGAATATGTTAGGCTGAGGACTACAACGTGCTGAGACTTGTTTGACCTGTAATTTGATATCTCAGTGATGTTTTGGCGGATCATTAGTTCATTTCTACAGGGTTATCATATGTAAATCGTGGAACCATAAACAAGAATGACGGCAAATTTATGTCAAGTGATGACGTCATCATGATTGTTGTCTTATGATTAAAACGTTGTGGGCCTAAATACCATAATTCCACCCCAAGTGCACACTGTGGACCTCGCCCAGTGGCTTTCGTATTTACACTGATCACTTTGTTATGCTTCCGAGAAACTATACAAGATTTTATATGAACTTCTTTGTCGTTTTGGAAAAATGTGTTGACGGTTTTCATACGGCGTAGTAAGTTGTTACCTGCTAGATTAGCTTAAAACATAATTGGCTGAATGATTACCAATAAGTAGTAACATGAAGATGCCAGGATCAATATAGCCATTATGGCTATTTTTTACATTCGCCGCAAGCGATAAACACATTTAATCATGTTGTATATATTCTTCCGCATATCACTTCTTTCATAAATGACATTTAAGATTGAAATATTCTTATGCACATTTATTCACCTTGATTAGTTTAAATTAAAAAAGACACAAATGAACCACTTTTGTCCTATTCCATTTGTCATGTGACGCTTAGTTTCGTGCGGCGTGGAAATTTTGAGACGGAGATGTCCAAAATTCCCCTTTTTTATTAATAGCAAGTCAGCATTTACCTTAATTGGGAGTGTCTTTCTGTTCCTGGCACAAGACAATAAGGAAGTGTGAGTTGTCATAAGGTGATCATGGAACCTGCAGTAAGTAGCAGCATCTTTCCTGCATGTGGTCTTAAAGTCAGAGACGCTTTAAATACAACTAAAACATGTTTAGAATTCGATAATGTAGCCAATACAAGGTCAGCCCTTTGATCTGAAGAATCATGGAGCCGTGTACAAGTATGACTTTGGTCAATTGCTCGAGCATTTAAAGTGATTGCTATGTGACGTTTGTGCGAAACAATTCAAGATAATTCGTTTGAAAGATTTTATATTAGGATCTTTCTCATTTTAAGAAACATGCTAACGGGTTTCAGATAGTGTAGTCAACTATTACCTACTAGATTAAACTAAAAACACTATTGGCTGAACCCACGATTAATCTACTGTAGGTCAAGTCGAAATATAAGGAAGGCGGGATCAATTCAGCCATGATGGATTTTTCTGTTCGTCGCAAGCAAAAAACACATTTAATCATATCTTAAATACTTGTACGTGTAACAAATCTTACGTAAATGAAATTTACGAGTCAAATATTCATATACATGAACACACCTATTAACCATGGTTAGTATAAGGTAAAAAAAAAAAAAAAAAAAAAAACATAAATGACTAATTTTATATATTTCGTATGTCAAGCGTAGCTTCATTTAAACACGCCGATTAGTTTCGTATCTTTAACATTATGTGAGTTAAACACAACACGTTTGGCACTATCAGCTGGTTACTTGGAACGGGGAGTGGGCGCAAACATTTATCGTCTATCTTATACCCCCTTTACACTGGATGGCGTCCATTCTGCGACCATGAAATTTGGCATCGCTGTGGTCTTAATAAGCAAGCACGAGCATTGATTTTGTATCAGAATGAATGCTCAATGATCGGCCAGTTGTCGGCACGTAAAGTATTATAATTTTTAAACTCTCAATTGGGGCCGTACTGCTGGACGCAGAAAGGACGCCGTCCAGTGTAAAGGGGGCTTTACTGAGAGGGGCTTGACCAAAATTCCCCCTTTTTATTAATAGTAAATCAGCATTTACCGTGCACGTACTGGCATTCCGTGTCATTCCGCTCCTGGTACACATGACGATAAAGGAGCGTGAACTGTCATAAGGTGACCATGGAACTTATTGTAAGTAATGATTTTTCCTAAATGTGGTATTAAAGTCAGGGACGCTTTATACGCAGTTAAACATATTGAAAATTTGAAAAGGTAGCCATTCAAGCCCAGTCATGAATATATGCCATGTTAATAATTACCAAAAGTTCTGCATAGGGAAAACAATGCTGTATTATGCTCAACGTACATTCAAATGTAGGCAGCCGTGCGTTTATATTTCACCAAGATATCATACTTTATACTATTCATAGTTATAACATTCTCTTAATTTTCATAGGAAAAATATATATTGTATTAAGGAGGGAGATGAAGATCTACAGGGGGCGATAAAAGTATTGCTCCATGTGCATGAAAATGGGGAGGGGGTTTCCCAAAATTTTTTGCGATTTCTCTGTCAAGTGTGATTAGCTTTTTTTCCACTCTCATTGGGTGTCATCAAACGAAGAATGTTCCCTCTGGCTGCCAAGTGTTCCCCAGATAGCTGTCTGCCAGAGTGTACAAGTATATACCGGTAGTTAAAGTTACCGCAACCTATAGGAGTGCCAGAGACGATTGGCAGTTTTATATCTGTTAATGTCCGATTCGTGCATTAAATTAGCTAATAGTATTCGGAATTACTACTAAAAGATGGTTCCGTGTTAATTATAAAGTTTACAGCAGGAATGCGAAGAGGAAACCTTGGTAAACCGGCGAAGAGGAGTGTCACGGGCTGCTGGAAACAATGCATGGGCCCTGCGTCAAAAATAGCGTCATTTCGTATTTTCTGATTAATCCATATTTACCTTTAACAAAGTGAGAGGTCAACTGAGATTATAGAGAACATCAGCCACTACCTAACTGCCCGAACAGGCACTGGTTAATGAAAACCACGAGTGCTACATTGTACCAAAACGTATTGACATCAATTGAAAGCAAAGCTAGCTAATGCCACCCCACACAGAGCCAAAACAGACTAGGAGAGACTTCACAAGAAATTGCAGTGCATCAATAGGATAGACTGACCGTCACAGTCCTCAAACACACTCTCTGTGTAAAACCTGTGGAATGATATTTGGAATCAATTGACAAAATTGACAAAAGATCGACCTTTTACCCAAAATGCCCTACCTGTAATTATAAGTGTCTTAAGAGCCAGGGCCAAAATACCCCCCGGGTGATACAACGCCTTATTTATGTTTGCTAAGGAAGATGGTAGCCATTTTGAGGTTTATGTGGCTTTCCAGCAAAATATTAATATTGACATAATGTCATAGTTTTTGTAAGGGTAAAGCATGTGTCTGTAAACCCGTAGCAATATTATTCACTTGAAATGATCACACCTCATTAAATTTAAAAATGAAAAACCCAACAAATTCAAGTGTGAGTCATTTAAAGAAAAATGGTACAAAACTTTTGTCATCCGCTGTAGACCGTAGGCAAAACAGATAGTAGATTTCGCCTTATACTCACGTGATTATATTTTTGCAAAACTACAAAACAGAATCCGTTTTAAAGATTTGTAACGAGGTCTTTCGTCTTATAAAGATTTTATTGAACAGTTTTCAGACGTCATATGATCTTAGGAATGTATTGAAGGAAGGCCCAAAGTTTGTCAATAATAAGAATTTTTTTTTCACAAGAGATATTAATTGCATCTATATGTGGAATGTTCACATTCATACTCATGCACCACAATTAATTAAATGACAAAAATAAGGAAAATTAGTGAACCAATATATCATATTCGTGCATCAAGTGTAGGTACATTTTCACACACGTATGGCTTAGTTTTGTATCATTGTTTTAAAGGATACTGGTGTTGGAACAAACATAAATATCGTTGTCAAGTGTCAGAGGGACAATTTCGTCATCTATCGTTTACATTGGTCAAAAAAATCCCCCAGTCTATTTAAAGGTTATCAATATAGGCATTGTCTGCTTAGATCAATCGGCTTGTAATAAGGGCGATCTTGACCTTAAAGTGGACGATTGTAGGGGATAACAGTTGTTAGAAAACCGGATATAGGCGACCATGAAAGGCAAAGTAAGTCAAAGCTGCTTTCGTGAACGTGGCCTAAGATATGTAAAGCATTCGATAAGATACAACACTTCGATGCACTGCAGTACTAATAGAGGCGGGCATTTTACACTTGTGTACATCACAAAGTACACTCTAGATTAGATTTTACAATGTCCGATGCGTGTGATTATGATACTACATTGATGGAACAGCATAGATAAATGATTCTAAATTTTGACAGACGTTTACTAGAGATATGCAGGGCCACTTCTCTACGAAAACCCTATGGGCGTTGCCCCTTCAGTTGTTGTTGATACTACAATAATTAAATGATTTTCTGATGAAAGTTGATCTGAGTAGTAGTGTTACTCATAATGATGAAATTAAAAACTGTTCAATTTCTTCACAATAAGCAGAAAGCGTACCTGAGAGCTTCCATCCCAAAACTTGGGACATCTTCAGTCACACTGAAGTTACGTGATAGTGTACAGTGAACAGTTTAGTGAGAAACCACATCAGACGCTGAAGAAAATACTATGCCTCCTTAAGGATGAAACTGACAAAAAGGACACCTGTGGGCGCATAAACAAAACTTCATGCAAAGGACATGAGGGCAGTGGGTGCAACCAAATATACATTGGCGGGACTGTGAGGTCTTAAAATGCAAGAGTTAATGAGCACCCAAGGCCTAGTTGTTCCAACACATCTGAGGCTTCACGACACATTAGTGTTGAGGCAACTGATCATACCATCAGCTGGGTATAGGACAATGTACAGACCTTGGACCGCGACCCCATGTGGTTCACAAAACAAGAACGCGGGGGGGGGGGGGGGGGGCCACAACCTGTCTCACATCTGGGATAGTGTTATAAGTGAACAGATCTTACTAAACTGTCCACTATACACTGCCACGTACGTAACTTCTGTAACATGAGGTCCCAACTAATGATTGCTGTGAAAAATTTAACAGTTTTATATTTCATCACTATGTTCACAATTATAATTCATTCATTTAAATTCTAAAATCCATCAAATGTTCAGTAGACTTAACAATATCTAATATAAAATTTCCAATAAAAATTATTTATAAAAACTAAGTTTCACAACTTACATAGTAATTAAAAGTCTCCAAAGCACATTATTTCAAACATCAGCATAAATGGCCTGGCTGCGTATTTGGATCGGCTACCATTGGACTTTGCTGTCCCTCGTGTGTCTTTCACGTCACTAATAGTGCGAAACTTACCACGCACTTCAGTGTTACACGTAGCCTATATATCAGACAAGGTACCTGGATGCACACAGATTGAGGGATCTGATTGGAGCACGATAACCTTACTTCTAGTTACTTCTAGCCGATAACTTACGTATATCAAATTTAGCAGAAGTTTATTTTGCCCCACCCGCAAGTGAAAAACACCGTTCTTTTGTTCTCCGAAAAACTTGGTACTATATAAAATCAATAAAACTGAATAAATGCACCATAGTTTAAAAGAGAACCGGATCGATGAATAAAAGCTTGGACCGTGACTGTTTATCTTAAACTATTGATTAACATATCAAAATCTTTTTATGTGGGAATATCGAACTTTGAAACTGCCTCTTTTTCGTTAGGCCAATTGGCTTGTGAAACGCTACTTGCTGATGTGAACTTACAATTTAGGTGGGCTGGTTG